GAAGCTATTTGTATATATATATTTGCATGTTTATTCACCCACACTTAAACTGTGGCCCTCAGCCTGTGCTGTGAGTATCTGTGGCCCCCGGGGTCTCCAAAGTTGAGTAGCCCTGCTGTAGAGTCTCTACTGAACTTTAGGGAAGGCTGGGTGACGATGCTATTGAACTAGATCAGTGGTCACCAAGCAGTAGATCGGGATCTACCAGTAGATCTTGGAGCCTCTGACAGGTGATCCTGACTAGTTTGACCAGGAAGCTTTCAAGCGTTGGCACTTCAGTTGCCCTTCCACCCTCTGTCATACTGCTCCTACCCTTTGCCTTGGAGCTGCCCCCTGGGAGCCTCCTGCTTGCTGTGCAGGGTGTGGGAAACAGAAAAGGGGTGGTACTTATGTCAGGGTGTCTCGCCCCCCAGACACACATGTATTCTATCTCCACACAGGGAGAGGGGGATGGAGGGAGCTTGGCAATGCAAATCTGTCCCTCTCACACACAGTGTGCGTCTCTGTCATTCTCACAAACACACCCCATCTTTCCCTCTCAGCTCCCGACCCAACACACACGTGGGTGGTTGTTACTTCTGTTACTGCGTGCACAGTGGGTTATTTTTGGTTTTTGACTGGTCTGTGCGTTTCATAATTTCCATTTCTCTCTTATGGTTAAATGTAATTCTTTGAGTAGTGATTTCTAAAATGCCTGACCTGTCAGGGCTGGAGTCATTATCCTTATGGTAACTGCTGCTCCTGGAGGTGGCTGGCATGTCCCTGCAGCCCCTGAGAAAGGCAGAAAAGGGGGTCTCCTAAGTAAGTTGGGGTGGTGGGCTATTAAATGTGAATTGTTATACCTAATACATATTGCTCTTTATCCTTGTCTCTCTCTCCTCCTCCTTTGGATTTTAATTCTCTGGTTCTCCTTCTTTATCCTTGTCTCTCTCTCCTCCTTTGGATTTTAATTCTCTGGTTCTCCTTCAGCATCTTCTCTGAGGGCTGTGTTACTGGTCCTCCTCTTGTTTCCCTGTACACCTTGGGAGACCCAGTCTACATCCATAGCTTCTGTGCTGAAGAGTCACCAAATGTACATCCTCCTGCAGTCTCACCCCTGCGTTCTGTACTTCCTTTCTGAATGCATTTCTGGTTTCTCACTCTCCATCAATACAACGAGAACATTATTTCTCAAGGCAGATTGTTCCATCTGACTGGTGAACCTTTGCTAGATTGATTCTATTGACCATGGGTTCTGAGAGGACTGGAGGAGGCTTCCTTGATATTATGGTGCAGAGTTTGCTTATCGGCTTTCAGCAGCACTGCAGGCTTAGATAACTAATTCCCTCTCCCTCCCTTTTAAACAGGGCAGAAGAAAGAAACCAAAGTGCAGTTTTACAATACCTTATTTGTTCATATTTAAAAACCTATATTGATGGCTAATATAAGGGTTGGGAGCATACACGTTCCAGTAATTACAAAATGTTGCCTTTTTCTACAAATACTTTGACGCTTGTGAGGAGTGGGACATGGTGCCCATGGTTCTTTTATAAATTATATTTTTTTGTAAATAAAAAAGATGAGACGATAATGGAAAAAAGTGTGATTGGGTGTTGTTTGCTTTGTGTCCCCTTTTTTAAGGGGCATTGTTGTGGAGTAGGATGATCTGGGGTAGTTGCTGTAGTATAGAGTGATTATCTGGGACCTCGCAGATATTGGGTTGCTTACTCTCTGCAGGCAGCCAGCGGAGAAATTTAGTAGATGTGCAGGCAGTAATCTTGCACTGAAGCGTGTACAGGAGTGTTCTGAATTACACTGGAAGGACTGTTTGAACCATCCAGGAGAGATGTTCTGCCCTGGAGGATGTGGGCAGAGGGGGGCCAGCTGCTATTTAACAAAATTGTTTCCAAAATTATCATCTGTGGTGACTTCTCCCACAAGTACAGATTCCTACCAGTCTGACCAAGGCAAATATATATAATATGTATCTTTGTAAATAGCATGAAACTTTACTGTACATTATCAAAGCAATTTAACATACAAAGTTTCAATGTAGAGCCTGTTTACACTGCAGTAAAAGATGTGTAGTTAGCCATGTCAGCTGACCCAGACTTGTGGACATAGGCTCTGAGACATCAGGAGGATCCTATATTCTGGGCTCCAGCTCAAGCTGTAACATCTACAGCTTTCCCTTCTCCCCAGTCTTGCAAGCCCCTGTCAGCTCAACCTGCTGCCAGGCTTTTAGTTCTATGACATATCCTAGACTATTGTAGCATCAGGTCTTGTGGTGAGAAGTACACATTTATGGATTCTCCGTCATGTCAATCCAGGGAAGAAGCAATTAAATGTATGCTCTCTGTTACCTTCCCACCCTAATCCCCATTACCTGCATTCTGCCCTCGCCCCCCCCCCCCTTATCCTTTCTTTGTTCCCAAGGTGTGAGCTTTGTCCCTTGGAAGCCTGGGGGTGGCTTTTCCCATGTGGGTGGAGCTGGAGCCTTCCACCTCTGGCTCCACAGGCAGGTACCTTATCCACTGTAGGAGCCCCCCTTATCCTTCCTTTGTTCCAAAAGTGCCAGGTTCCTCCATTGCCAAAGTGGTGGCTACTGGAGGAGCCCCCCAACCTACCTACATTCTGAGCCCCCCTTATATAGCTAGTGGATTCAGTGTTTTCTAATCAGATGGCACATCACACTGCAACAACCTTCTGCAGCAGCATCTCCAGCCCTGTTCTCATGGTGCACGACAGCGTACTGGTGAAAAGTGCTGACCTGCAGCGAGAGCAAAGTACCCTTGTGTAGAGGGAGGCTGCAGAGGGACACTGTACAAATGGCATATTACACTGTGATGGTGCAGGCAATGCTAGGGCATGATGCACCACGAGAGCCTGGTCAAAAGCAAAGATGGCCCATTGAAGCACAGCAGGGTGGCAGCTTGACACTGCCATGTGTAATCAATGGGGGGGGCAGGAGGGGTGATATCCCCTGATGTGATGCTATGTTTAAAACATGCAATTTTGCTTCCTCCCTTCTGGAGCTGAGGGGCACAGGCAGGCTCGGGTCCCCTCTATGGAGTCAGGCCTGCAGCCCTCCCCACCCCGCTTCAGGCGGAGTGTCCCTGGGCTCCCCCCAAGACACGGTTAGCTGCTTCCCTGGCAAAGGCTGAGGGCAGAGGCCTCGCGGCTGGTAGGGCGCATGCGCTTGATTTTTTCGCACATGCGCCGTGGCGGGACAGTGGCTCGGGCTCTGACGACGCTCGCGCCGCTTCTCTTCCGGGGGCGGCG